ATGGGAAGGAGGGAGAAGAGGTGAGAGGTGACCAGGGCTGAGGGCTGGAGGAGGCAGGAGAGGAGGGGCTGGGAGATGTTATTGGAAAGGGGAAGCTGTCCCTAAGAGGTTTGATTCTTCTGCCAGAAAATTCTTTTTGAATAATAGTCATTCAATAATAGGCAGTCCATTCTGGATAGTAAAGACCCTATCCAAAATGGACTGCGCCCTCTGAGCCAGGGTCTGGCGTGGGCCCAGCCAGGCTGGAAGAGGCCTGAGGGCTGGGGCAACGGGACTCACCGGCAGGGTCCGGCTGCTGTGAAGGGTGTTGATGGCTGCCTGGGCCTCGGCGTGAGTCTGGAACTTCACGAAGGCGCAGCCTGGAGAGTTCAAGAGGGAGGAGGAAGGGGTGAGTGCCCACCCTTGAGGGCCCCGACAGTCCCCATTGCCCACGGAACCAGTGGGGGAGGGGCAGGAAGGCGGAGTGCCCTGCGGGGAAGGGGTATCGGTGGGCTACCTTTGCTGGTGCCGTCTGGGCCCCGGAGCACAGTGCACTCGTCTATGGTCCCGAAAGGCTCGAACATCTTCCGGACGTCCTCATCTGTCTGCTGCTTCCCTAGCATCCCCACAAAGAGCTTCCGGTCTTCTGGCGGGTAGGGCACAGGAGGAGGGGCAGGTTCAGGGCCTCCAGGCTGCTTTCCCAGCCCTGCTCCAGCTTGGGACAGGCAGAGAGACCCCTCCCCTTTGCCTTCAGCTCTTCCCTGGAACTCCCCTCACCCCTGACCGATGGCTCTAGGGCATGAAAGAAGGGATGGTTGGGGGATGGGCTGCAGATACATAGACTGTGCATACCAGTTCTGAAGGACTGACTTGCACTCCACTCTGGGCCTCAGTCTTGCCGTCTCTGCAATGGGCTGGATCACATCCCCTCTGGCCACCCTGACTCCTATGCCCATCTTGACTGGGAACCCTTCAGAATTCTCAGACTTTCTTCCTCAGAAAGCCTGCCCCTCAGCTACTCCAAGTCCTAGGCCTGCGGATTGAGGGAAAAGGATTGAGTCCCAAGGTACAGAACCTACCTCCTCGGCTCTCGCTGTCGGCTGGCTTGACCTGGATCGGCCTGTTCATCTAAAGGAAAGAAGAGAAAGCAACTGCTGGGGACCTCCTCTGACCACCCCAGGAGGCCTCCCCAGGCCAGGACCTGTGGAGAGGCTAGAGGGAGTAAGCCCCAGGCCCAGCCCTCTAAAGTGCTGATGGGAAGGGAGGGATGGGGCTTAATCTTGTTTAGGATTGGACCTGAGGGGATTAGAGGTAGTGGAAGGAGAGGATGTAGAGGAGGATGCTCCTGGGGCACGACTCTAAGCTCAGGTAGGGCCCCAGATGATTTGGCCAGGGAGAGGTGCTGCCCTCCTTAGGGGGAGAGTGGGGCTGCCCATAGGACCCGGGTCCTGAGTTAGAGCCCAACTAAGGGCTGTTCAGCAAAAGCTGCCTCAGTTCTACAAAGTAGGAGCAACAGAGGCCACCCCCTCAAGCAGCCCCAAGGAAGACTCTAGACTGAGGGAGACCCCACAGATGCCCCGACTTCCTTCTGACCCCTAGAGGTGTGTTTGCCTCTCTTTCTGCCCCCCTACACCCCTTGACCCCAGGGGGAAGGCACTCGGGCAGCACAAAGGGAGCAGATGCCCAGTCTCCGTGGCAACGGGAGAATGCGCGCCATGGCAACCGCCCACTCAGCCTGATTTATCCGTCCCCGTCGCCCAGGCGACCATGGTGACGTCATCACTTCTGCTGCTCCACACACCCGGAGAAGGAGTGGGGAGGGTGGGTGGCAACAGGGTATGCTGGGGGTGGAGGATTTGGTGGGGGCTGGGAGGTGGGGGAGGGGCCCAGGAGAGCTTCCTGATTCTGGAGGGAGGCGCTGAGCAGGCCCTGCAGGGGCCATACTGTCCAAGCTCCTGCCTTCCTCCTCCAGATCAAATCCTTGATGTCTCACCACCAAGACAGCTCTAAAGGAGGAAATGCTGTCCTGTGCTCTTTCGCGATTCTCCGGGTACCCGGAAGTCCTCCTGAGCTCTACCCTCTGCCTACTCCTGCAGCATCTCCCTTTGTTCAGCCTCCAGTGGAAATGCAGACAGTTCCCCACTCCATGTTCCTGTCTGGTAAGAGGACTTGGGAATGACTCCCGCAGGTTGATTTCCTTAACCAGTGTGGGGAGCATCTTAGGAACTGGAGAGGGAGGGAAGGACTCAGTATTTCACATCTGAAAATATTTTGCTGTTGAAGGCTTTGACCCCTGGGGCCACACCTGGCCACCCCATTCATCTGATGGTGGGGCAGCCCTAGTTCTAGTGACCAAAATAATAAGTAAACAGAAGAAAACATTCATCCAAATTCTGAGGGTGGGGCCAAAGTTACCCTCAGGAAAGGCACTGGACTTTGAGGACTGGCTCTGCCACTCACTGGCTGGGTGACCTTGGACAAGTCATTTCTCTCCTCTAGGCCTCAGCTTCCTCATCTGTAAAATGGGCTGGATCAGGCGATCTAGAGTCAGGTTCCCCTCAGCTCTAGTATTCTATCCTTGAGGTCTTGTGTGTCAGCACTTAACACAGAGAAGTGCAGAAATGATAGTTGCCCCTGCCCCTTCTCACACTGCACCCTGTTCCCAGGTGTCACGCCATGCCAGTCAGTCTGGCTGGACTCTGCAGGTGAGGTATTTTCAGCCCGGATCAAATCTAGGCCCCGCCTCAACCAATACTTCCTCCCTGTCCACCCCTCCCCCCCAATCTCTGGATCTGAGAGCAGCTGGGGGTGGGGGTGGGGGTGGTGGAGGGGGAACAGTCACACAAATCCTCTGGCCAATCTGCCCCAGCTTTATCCTCCACCAATCTGGGATTATCCCATCGGAGGTTCAATCTCCTCAGGAGCGCGTGTGAGTTTGTGTGTGTGAGTTTGTGTGTGTGTAGCAAGGGGTGGGGGTCAGACACTCAGGACTCTTGGTCCTTCACTCCCCTTCTCTCCCGTACTCCGGTCAAAGCCATCAGGAAGTCCTCTTACAGGCAGGTCAGCAGCCAGCCCCCCAGCTCCCACTACAGGAGAGGTAGGATTGGAGTCACAGCTTCGGGGAATTCTTATGCTCGGCACTAACCCCTTCCCAACAGGCCCCTGGGGACTTGTTGCTCTAGTTGGGGATGGGGAACCTGGGATCCAGGGAGAAAGGATGGTGTTCCCTCCCTGCAAGGCTCCCAGGCACAAAAATAGCATATCAATAAGTATCCACAGCTGATATGGATTCGCACAAAAACACACACAAGTGCGCAGACCACAGCACAGACCACGTTGACGGAAGGCTCTCCCCACTCCCTCACAGACAGACTCCTCCCTCAGTGGCCCCCAGTGCCCCGTTCCCAGCCTCTCCTTCCTGGCCTGGCACTTCCTGTGGGAAGCTCGGCCTTTGTTAGCTCAGCTCGGGCACACCTGCCTCCTCCCCTGAGTCCAGCTGGGCCCTGTTTACCGGGCAACCTGGCGCCGGGCGCCTCTCTTCCCTAGCTACCACCCACCAGGTGATAAGCCCTCCCCAGGGCCTCCCAAAGAAGAAGGGGCTATTTATACTCCTACCAAGTATCCCTGAGGCCCCTACCAACATGATCACTTGTAAGTAAGTCCCTCTCACCAATAGCTAAGACCCCACTTCCAAGAAGAGCTCCCCATGCCTACAGATCTAATTTTCCTGAGGGCACAGCCCTGGTGCCCTGCCACTCCCGACTCCAGACTTGCGCCTGGTGTCCCAGACCACACACAGGTCCTCTCCATGGAGCCAGAATCCACCTGCCCAAAGGCAAGATGACGGGGAGGACCCATGTCCCCAGAGTGGGATTTTGGCCCAAGTAGAGGGGGAAGCGCAGGCCAGACAGGGGTCCTTCACACCACCACCTCCAGGAGGTCACACCCTGCTCCTAGGAAGAATCCAGGGACCTGTGACAGAGCCTCTCCTGGGAACTCTTAGGGGAGAGAGAAGGAAATGGGGTTCCATGGCCATAGGCCCAGCTCCCATTCTTTCTCTCTGCAGCCTGAATCATCACTCAAATATGGTGGCACCTTCCAGATTCTGAGCTGACAAAGATGGGGAGAAAGGAGAGCGGGTAAATGCCCCCATTAAAGAAAGAACCTGCAGTCAGAGGGCATGGAGATTAGACAGTAGGAGGAACTTCCCAACAGTTGTGCAAGAGCTGGCACACTGGACACACACACACACACACACACACACTCACACTCAATGACTGTCTGAGGGGAAACACTGCTGCCAGAAAGGCAGGTGGCTGAGAAAAGATCTGGGGGCACAAAGGGTCAGGCAGAGCTTGGTTATAGACATCTGCTCCCCCAAACCCCCAGCACGGGGGTCCCCTTGGAGGATAGAACCCCTCATTTCCTACTAAAGGCTCTGTCAGGTGCCTCTGGATTCTGTCCCCTGGGGCAAGGGCCAAAGTGGAGGACTCAACCTCACCTGGGAGCTTGGGGCAAGGCTCAACAATTATTAACTGGGGCTCCCTTCTCACTCGCCTCCCACCCTGGGCCTTATTACCTCAGGAAGAGGAGGCAGCGCCTTTCCACACCCAGGGCGTAGCCCTGCCTGAGCCACACAGGCAGCTGGAGGGGGACAGAGCCAGGGCAGAAGCCCCCAGCTGGCACAGATGGCCCTGGGACTCCTGTGCACCCGGCGCCGTCTCTCTCACCCATGTCCCCACTCCAGTATCCCTGCTTTCTACCTTCTCCCTCGTCCCTCTCTGGTTTCCGCAGGGGCTCTGAGAGATAGGAGACAACAGAAAAAGACAGAGAAACGGCAATGGAAATGAAAACTGTTGATTTGTGGGGGGGCCTCCCCAGAGGAAAGAGAGAGGAGAGTTGTGAGGTCATGTGATGGGAACAGGGCTTCATGTGCCCAAACACACACACACACACACACACACACACACACACACACGCTTCTTAGAGCCCGAGCCTGCTCACACATACACAGATCCTTAACTCTGTGGGTGATGGCTGTTCTGGGCTACCTTGCCCCCGACTGGATAAGATAGTGGGGTGAAGGTGGGGAGCTGGCAGCAGATCTGCTTTCCTATAGTGGTATTTAGGGTTGAGGGCCACAGAGGGTCACAGGGCCATGGAGGGTGTGAAGTTGGGAGTGGTGGAGACAGTTCTAATTTTCCTAGATCCCCCCCGCCGCCCTTCCCATCTGTTTTGTCTATTCCTCTCCCAGGAAGAGCTAGAGGATCGGGCTCCATCTCCATTCCCACACGAGGGAAGGAGAAGATGTGACAGGTGTGTCTCCAGCACTCAGACTGTGTTTAGCAAATGTTGGCTGGAGGGAAGGGTGGAGTTAGCTCTCAAGAGGTACTTTCCAGGGAAGACAACAGAAGCCGATAGATACAGAAAGGGAATGGCACATCCTTTCCCCACAGGATGGGTAACTGGGGGGCAGTCTGAGATTTTTTATTCCTGTCCGTGCCAGCCCAGGCCTGGGATGAGCTGCAAGGCTGCCTGGGAAGAAGACAAAGAGCTCTGACCTTGCAGGAGGGAGGCCATGTCAGAGGCACCCCCTGCCTCCCTGGGCACACTTGGTGGGGTCAGGCCTGATCTTCCACACTGATGGCTGCCCCTGCCCTTGTCTGCTGCCCGCAGCCCCCCTCCTCAGGGCTTACTCCCAGCCCAGGCCCACCAGGCCCTGACCACCCTGATGCCCTGTGGCACTGTTCCCGCGGCTTTTCCTGGGAGACGTGAGGTGAGCTTGTTCGACCTCAGAAGTCAGCACAGAGATGCCAGGCGGGCAGGCACCAGCTGCCCATCTCGGGCCGCAGGCACCCCTCCCCCATTTCACAGGCAGATTTCCTCCCCAGAGCCAGAAAGAGTGCCTCCTGCTCACTCGGCCCTGCACTTGGTGTCCAAAGTCTTCTCCCCATGCCTCCCAACCAGCTAAGTCCCTCCTCTAAGTGCTGCCCCAGGGGCAGGTTGGGAAGTGGGGAAAGGGCTACCTCTGCTCTTTGCAAGGGTTATATCTACTCTGCTCATCGCCGTTTTCCTTCTCTCTTGGTGAGAAGACATGCGTGCATCTTCAGCAAGGAGGCGGGGTGCTACAAGGAGGTAGGGGCTTCCCGGTGATGAGAGGAGGTGGAAAATACACTCAGTGTCTTGGGAAGGTGGTGCCCCTTCTAAGGCCCTTCTCAGCCCCCTGGCCTTGAAAAGGCCGGGACTCACCCCTGGAAGCGTCTTCTGTTCGTGCAGGGCGCTCTGGGCCTTCAGGGCTGAATCGCGGGCACAGTATGTCAGGAAGGCACATCCTGAGGAGGGGCAGGGGCAGAGAGACCGGGTCGGGGGTAAGTCCCCGGTCTCCCCTCCCTAAAAGGCCCCCTACCCCCCACGAAACTGAGGACTGGGAAGCTTGTCCCTTCTTGCCACCTTCTGCCTGCTGGGGTGGGGAGGTGTCTGAGAGGGGGTGCACATTCGTCCCCGGAGCCTCTGGGCTGATGAGCACAGGGCAGAGACCCCGAGACCAGGAGGCTTACATGGTGGGGTGATGGAAGAGGGAGAACGCCTGGGCTGTGGGAGCTGGGGCTTTGTGTGGGGGGAGGAGAAGGGGCATGTGATCTCCAGACAAGTACGTGTAGTGTGGTTTTCTGTCTTCCTTAGCTGGTCTCCTTTCCCCTTTCTCCTTTGCCTCCACCTCCCTCCATCTTGGTCATCATCAGCCCTGTCCTCTCCCATTTTCTCTATTTCCTCCTTTCTCTCCAGCTCCATGGGAGGCAGGTGGAGGGTGGAGAGCTGACTAGAGAAGGAAAGGGAAGAGTGGGGAGCCGGAGTCCCTGGGCCGGTGGAGGGGGAGGCAGCGTGGCCCCTCTGACTCCCAGTGTCTGGGGCTCTCCAAGGCCTGACCCCAGGCCTGACCCTGCTTAGCTGCACAGCCCTTTGGCCTGAGGCACATCCTCTTTCACCCCCAGCTCCCTTAAATTTCGAGTCCCTATGCTTCCCAGATCTTTACCAATCTCTGTCCTACACTGTTTCCCAGGTCCCCCTCTTTAGTTCTGGAGCTGCCCTGCCCACTCCACGAACATCCACTCTTTCCAGGTTGAGCACCTGACCCTGTGTCCCGACCCCCATCCCAATAGTATCTGAGGCTACTAAGACTCTCAGTCTTGTGCGTGCTGCCCCCCTCCACACACACACCCCTGCCCAGCTCCTTATCTCTCAAACCAGCTCTCTCGTTCCTCCATCCTTCCTTGAGTTCATCCACATCATCCCCCTCAACTTTGGGGTCCGCATCTCTGCAGCCACCTTGACAACTCTTCCCCCAGAGAGGCTCTCTTTGGTCCTCCACCTGGGGTCCCCTGGTCACCCTAGCTGAGTTCTCTTCTAGCTCCTCCATCCACACTCCCCAGCCCATGAACTCTTTTCCTTCCAGATCAGCCTTCTCCAGCCACTCCATCCCTCCAGCCTGGCTTCCCCACCTCCTCCCAGCCTCCCAACCTCCCAGCCCACTCCCTGAAGCCTCTCCAGCCTGGCCTGACCCCTCACCCTTGTGCAGCCCGGTGTACTTGTCCTTGATGACAGTCAGCTCGAAGATCCGACCAAACTGTTCGAAGATGGGTTTCAGGTCCTTTTCCTCCAGATGCCTCGGTATCTGCCCCACAAACAGCTTGATGGCATCCGGTTCCTTCATTGGGGCGGCCCAGGAGAAGGGGCCGAGGGGAGCAGGGAGAGGCCCGAAGGCCAGGGGGAGCTGCCCAGCAAGGAGGCAAGTGGCCGGGGCTGGCTTTCCCTTTGGCCTCAACCACAGTGCTGAGCGGAGGGGCCGCTCTTCATACAAAGGAGGCCCAGGGAGTTGAGGGCTCGGGGTCAGGGGTCTAGGCAGACACTGTCATGCCACCAGGGGGCATAGCCCAAGCAAACGATCTCCCTCCCAGAGATCTGGCAGATATCCCAGGATGGGGGGCAGTGTGGCCAAGACCTGGCGGGTTAGGGTGGTAGCAGGGGCGCTGGGAACTGGGGGTTGAGATTAGAGCTGGAGGTGGAGGAAAGGGCCTGAGGAGGGTGATTGGGTTTCAGGCTGAGGGGTTAGGGTCCTGGTATGGTTGCCAGCAGCGTTGGGGGTGGGGGGCACTCCTGATGTGGGGCAGGTGGAGCTCTCGTTGGCTTCCCTGGGAGGACACCTCCCCTGTGGCTGATCCTTCTGCTGGGTCCGAAGATCCCTGATGCCAGATGCTTGATCTCTGATGGCGGCAGGGCGCCGGGGGTCCCTTTGGCCCTGCCGCCTCCCTTCAGGTCCTCCCCTCAGCCCCCCTCCCACCCCCACCCCGGTCCCCGGGCCTGGGCTGCTGCTGGCTGCTCCCGCCGCTGGGGCTGCCTGCTTTCCCGGTCACCTGGGTCCCGGAGCTCTGCTCTCCGGCCGCGCTCTCCTCAACAAAAACCTCCCCCCTCCACACCCCCCTCCCCACTCCCACCTCCTTTCCCCTGACATCAGTGATGTCAGTCTCAGGGGTGGAAGACAAATTCTCTACCCTGGAGAGGGACGCACAATCCAGACAAGAGCCACGCCCTCTTCCTATCTCCTTCCTCCCTGACTCCCTTCCCACCCCCAGAAGAGCAGCTGGTCCTGTTGATAATAACCCTTCCCCCATCTTACTCCCTAATCACGAGTTGGGCATGGCACTAAGATGGAGAATTTATAGAGGAGCCCTAAGGTGGGTTTCATTGTTCCGGGGGCTGGAGCTGTCCCCGGTGCTGGAAGGGAAGACCCAGGAGAGGGGAGCAGGGGGGAGGAAGAGAGAGGAGCTGGCATCTGGGGAGACTGAGAGTGGGGAGCCAAGGGAAGAAAACAGGGAAAAGAAGATGGCATAGAGATGGCTGGGCAGATTAGGGGCGGGTGGGGAGAAGGGTGTAGCTGGGGAGGGAAGCAGGTCGCAGAGCCTGGGGGAAAGGGCAGAAGGGACCCAGAGAGAAAGATGGAAAGGGGGCTGTGGAAGAGAGAGCAGGGTGAGATGAGTGCAGAGAGGGAACTGTGTTTTCCAGAAAGGGAACCAAGAAAAACTCGATCTTGCTGGCATTTGCCGACGCCCCCTTCTCGCCCTCTGGGGCGTTTGTGTGTATAAGTGCGTGGGCAGGGAGGCAGCAGTGGTGACAGCGAGAGCTCGCACTTGGAAGCTGTTTGAAGACCAGGACACTGTTTAATTCAGCTTTTAGTGTCCAGCACAGTGTCTTGTTCACACGTAGTAGGAGCTTAACAAATATTTCTCGAATAAGTAGTCAATGCCAAGAGCCTCTGATGAGAGTAGATTCCTGATTCCTTCCATGGGCAGAATCACAGCTGGCAAGTTCCCCTTTAGGGCAGAGGAAACCCCAAAATTCCTTCCTTCTGCTTCTCCCCTCCCCCCCACCCCAGTTATGTTCCCTGACTGGGACTCTCTAGTTGAGTCAGGTAACAAAGAGGGATGGGGGAAGCATATTTGGGGGCCATTACTCCCCTAAACGGTTAAACTTCTACAGATGATCGGTTTGCCCTGTGATGCTGAGGGAGCTTGACCCCTCTGTACACCGCGCTCACTTACAGCTCCCCCTCAACGCAGGGAGTATCTGCTGGCATCAAACCTCTTGGACGGGGCAGCCCTTGCCTGCCATCAGGTGCTTGCCGACCTGGGCTCACAGCTTTTGTGGAACTCCTTGCCTCCTGTCACCCCTTCTTCACCCCAGAATGGGGCTGATTTCTCCACAGTGGTGCTGGTGTCTCTGAAATCTGTCCCACCTGAATCCCAGCAGCCCTGCCTCAGCTCTCTGGACAGGCAGGCTTTTCTTCTGGAAGGGAATTAATAGTACCATCACTTAGATGGCTCTTACGGTGTTGGTCCGTGTCATAGGCATTGTTTAAGTGCTTTATATTTACTAACTTGTTTAACCCTTAGCACCACCCTATGATGTAGGTTCTATTGTTACCTTCCAGTAAAGATGAGGAAACCAAGGCACAGAGAGATTAAATGACTTGCCTAAGGTCACACACTGGAAAGAGGTATAGCTGAGAGTGGAGCCCGGACAGTGTGGTTCAAAGTCCATGCGTTTAACTTCCCTGTCAAATCTCCTCTTGGGAATGGGGGGAGTGGTTGAGCCTGGCCTTTCTTCCTCTTGTGTCTTCATTTGAGCCCTGGGTGAGAGCTATCCTTCTTTCTACTGCTTGATTCTCCATTCACCACCATCCATCCTTCCCTAGCATCATTTCTGTGGCCTGAAGCCACATTCTGACAGGTATGTATGTTTGAGTGTGAGTGTGTGTGTGTGTGTGTGTGTGTATGTGTAGACGTGATTACACTTCATGGTACGGATGTCCAGATGCTCCCAATAGGGTCCTCTAAAATGGGTGGGTAGGGGGAGATGGAAGAGGACCCAGTGCAGGGTGGTCAGAATATGCGATGGCAGTGCCAGGGAGTCAAGAGTGCAAATACATCTGGAAAGTAACTTTCCACCCATCTCCCCACCCCCACTGCTCCTTCCCTTGCCTCCTAATCTGATCTTGGTATTTATGGAGATGCTAAACAGATCACGCCCTCTGAGGATGGAGCCTAGGAAGACCCCGTGGCCCTGTTGATCTCATTACTCTGTGTCTTGTCAGCAGATCTGCCGCCCTGCTGCTCATTCAGGCTTGGGGCTAATCATATTAATTGAAATATTAAACATTCACAAAAATGAATTATAATGAACTCCCCTCACTCCTCCTCCCAGTCAGCAATTGAGGAGACAGCTGCAGGCAGCAAAACGCCTCCAATCCTTCGCTTAGTTTGTGGTCCCCAGACGGAAGGCTTCAGTCTGAGAGGAGAGGTGGGGTTTAGGAGAGAAGATGTGGGAACTCTCTTCAGGCCCTCCTTGCTGGGCGACTGTGGGCACCTCTCTGTTGTCCTTCAGGCTGTAGGGGAGGAAGCCCTGTGGGGTGAAGACTGGGGGGGAAAATGACCCAGAGGCACATACCAGGGAATTGCTCTCCAGGAGGAGGTGAGGCTTCCAACTAGGTTCCTCCAAGGTACTTTCTCTGCCCACCATCCCCAAGCTCACCCTCTTTCTTATTCTCTGCACTCAATGTTAAGATGCCCTACATTAAAAGAATATTGACTTTATAAAGAGAGAGCTCACTCCTGGTTTTAGATTCTTAGGAAACGAGACATGCTAAATAATTGGGGTACTTTTCAGAAAGGTCAAAATGTAGTGATGGTATGTGTGGGCAGAATGGCTACTCATCAAATACTTGCTGGCCTCACTAATTGAAAACAGAGTGAAGACTTCTGTAGCAGAATCTGTGAGAGTGTACAAAGAATTGATTATATAATCTTCCTTCCCTCGAGTGGCTTCTACCTCAAGTGGAGAGGTAAGAAAGGCCAACACAATTTACAATAGTGAGAACTGAGGTGCTGTTAAAAAAAGAAAAGTAGCCTCTCTCATTTACACATATGTGTATTTGGGGTTTGGGCCATGGGATGTGGTGAGTCAAGAAAGGCTTGACTGATTCTCAAATCACAAGAAGACCATAGCTTAGCAGAAGGAAGACATTAATTATTTTATGCATGGGGGTGGGGGATGGAGGGAATTGTGCATGTATATGCCTCTGTGTGTGTGTGTGTGTGTGTGTATGTGTGTGTAGATTTGACAGTCCAGACCAGCACCATTTACTGTAATGCAAGCTGTATCTATAATTTAAAAGTTTCTAGTAGCCACATTAAAAAAGTGAAAAGAAAAAGTGAAATGACTTTTAATAATATATTTTATTTAACCAGTATATTCAATGTATTATTCAATGAGTTTATATGATATATCCAAAATATTCAACATGTAATCAATGTAAGGATTATTAGAGATATTTACATTTTAAAATACCAAGTCTTCAAAATCCAGTGAGTGATTTATACTTACAGCTCATCTGACACTTTCAGCAAATTTCAAGTGCTTAATAGCCACAGGTGGCTCGTGGTGACCACATTGGATGGTGCAACTTAGAGGTTCCAACACTAGCTTCTCTGGGGGGTGGAGGGGTGGGAAGAGACAGGTCTTAGCCAACAGGAACTATCACCTCTGATTAACCTCTGCTCCTGCCTAAAAAAATCACTTCTGACAGATGGCAGCTTATCTACCTCTCACTATAACTCTCGTTCCTAAAAAACAATCAAAATGATTACTACCCAGATGGGGTTTCTGAGAAGAGGTTTGTAGCCCACTATTTAATTTACCTCTTGAGGTGTTTTTCCTGGCTTGGGAACTGCCAACATTTTCACTTCTTTTCCTCAGTCTTTTTTTTTTTTTGGCCATGTTGTGCAGCTTGCGGGATCTTACTTCCCTGCCCAGGGATTGAACCCAGCCCCAGCAGTGAAAGCACGGAGTGCTAATCACTGGACCGCCGGCGAATTCCCTCCTAGTCTTTTCTGAGAGGCAGATGGCAGAGAGACCCCCTCCCAGGCCATGGCCTAATGCTGGGCTTGTTAAGCTCTTTCCTTGCTCCTTGGGCAGTTTTCTCAAATCTGAAAAGACTGCTTCCTTTTGGGCTCTTCTCTGCCTCTCACAAGGTCTCTGCTGCTCATGATCTCCGAGGGGGTGTAGAAATTCAGCACTTGCGTGTATTGTCAGACAGCCTCCTGCCCTTTCTAGGTGCTATTTTCAGCTCTCTGGCTTTCTGTCTCACGTTCTCTTCTTAATTAGATAGCAGAAGAACACATCTTGAAGACCAACTGCCTTTCCCCTCCCCTACTCCATTGGGAATGGGAGACATGATTTAGAATTTATAAGGAGCAGTTAATCTACACAAGAAAGTCAGTCCAAGAGGGGAAACTTCTGGCAGCATGTCCCCAGGTCCTTTCCAGCATTTTTAGTCTGAGAACACTCCTTCCTTTGTAGAACTCGGTTCATTCCATCCCATGGGGTGCTTTCATGTTGTGTTAAGAATCCAAGACTTCAGGGTCAAGTGTCTGCACTTGAAGGATGGAAAGGTTTGGCTCCCGGGCCGGTGGAAAGGGAAGAAGCCTAGATTTTCCTTCCCTACTACTAGGCTTTAAATGAGAGAGTCAGGAACCAGATTCTGGGAGACTCTGCCTTAGGAATCCCTTTTCCAGTTATGCTCTAGAGCTAAAGAAAAAACTATTTGAGGTTGGGTGGGGTCAAAAAGGGCTCATTTTCATATGCAGTCAAGCTGGGAATTCAGTCCCCGAATCTGGGGAAGGGGATCCTTTAGACACCCTCCTGAGCTTACTCCTCGGCTTCAGAGTGGCCCCCTTATTGCTTCCCTCAGCCCCGCCCCCTTCTGGAGAGGGCGGGGCCAGGCCGGGGGTGGGTCCTCACCAGCCGCGCCTCCCGTCGCCTTGACGACCGCGACAAGATGGCGACCCTGCCGGGCGGGATTCAAGGGCTGTACCCCGAGGCGCTGAGTCCCGAGCAGCTGGAGAAGCTGCGCGGCTTCAAGGTGGGTGCGGCCCCTGACCCCCGCCTCCATTAGAGTGCAGCTCCCCCTGGGTAAGGGCCCCAGAGAAAAGGGACGTGGAGCCTGTTCCCAGATAAAGGGGCGGAAGGCTGGGTGGGTGGGGACACACCCGGCGGACCCTAGGCTTCTGGAGCCCTGAACAGAGCCCGACAGGCGCCTGAAAGTCCAGAAAAAAACTTAAACAGGGATGGGCCAGAGAAATGGACCGAAATTGACTGCCGGATACTTTAACTTAGATACAAACAAGAACTTCCCAACGGTAGAGACCCGACCTTAGTTAAGGCCCCTAAGCCTGAGCCGGAGGCAGCATTGAAGATGTTGATCTGTAAGAAGACAGATGGCTTAAATGTTCAAACGTCCTGGGAAGAGACCCGGCTTAAGTGCGCACGTTGTTTCCCCAAGCCCCCCACACCTCCAGGGCTTGAGCCCTGAAATCTTTCTCCTCATGAAGCATGACCTTTTGCTCTTCCCCTCCAGATTCAGACTCGGATTACTAATGAAAAGTACCTAAGGACCCACAAAGAAGTGGAGTTGCTCATAAGTGGTTTCTTCAGGTAGGTGGTTTTCAGACTGGCCTTGAGCAAATAGTGGAAATCTCGTTGGGGATAGATGAGTGTGAGTGACCTCTTTCTTTAAACACTACTTGTTGCTTCCTTTAGGGTCTGAAGTTTAGAAAATATCCTGAGATTGAATATTTTCTAGCGCCGGGGTCTGTGGCACCCAGGGTTTTCTTGTTATCTCTAGAGGTTTCCTTCAGTTATCTCAAAATTCTCAAAAAATATTAATATGCATTCACTTTAGCTCTAAGGATAAATACATACCTTCCAACACTTGGAAGAGGGAATTTGGCATTGAGAAACTCAGCAGACAGCCATTGGGTGTAGAACCCTATTCTCTATCAGAGGCCTTTAACAAGGTCACTAGAACTTAAAAAAAATTCAGACGTCTGGCCTTTCTCTACCTGAGAACACTGGTGTGGAAAGACTCCCAAGGGTTGGAAGCCACTCCCTTGTAAGTCATGGGGAAAAGAAAACCATTTTCCACCATGTCCTGGAGCACCTTTTTCCTTCCCCCACACTGCCTTTCAGCATGGCATTTGCTTGAGTGAAAATGTTCCTAATAGGATGAAAAGCAAAGAACTGAGGGGAAAAAAAATCATGGAGCATCAATGGATGAATACAATAGAGCTATGCCGAATACTGTTTGGCTACAAACAGATAGGCACGATTTAAATAATAATGGCTTCCATTTCCAGGCACTGCTGTTGGTTTCCTACATTAGCAGTTATCACATTGTATAATTGCATTTTCTTTCTCTCCCTGGACCAAAGCTCTAAGCTGGTGGAGCCATGTTTGTGTCCCCAGGGCCCACAGTGTATGACATTTTGGTACATTTTTGCTGATCCTCCTAGCAACTCTACAAAGATAGTTTATTATCACTTCCATTTTACAGGTGAAATACCTTCCCCAGATTGCTGAACCAGAATCCAAACCCCTGGTTTTTCCACTGTGTTGCACTGTAAGCACACAGGAGCTGGGGAGCCAGAGGTAGGGCTCTCCTTTGTCTTTTTAAAAGTAGGCCTGGAGGGGTGTCTTTTTTCCATGCTTCATTGTTCTTCAAAGTGGCACCCGATTCTCAGAGGGCAGATAGGGGAAGGGGAAAGGGAAAATGGAAACCTGTCTGTGAGGTTTGGTTTTTTTGGGCCAGGCTTAAGGCTTGGGCAAAAGATAGTTTAGGGGTCCTCTGTCAGTGTCAGCCCTGGAGATCAGGCCATCACTTTCTGTACCTTTTCTTCTAAAGGGAGATAAAGGATGACATCTTTCCTATCCTGGGGAGCTTGCAACCCAAGTTAGGAATGATTCCAGCAGCGAGATTGGGGATAGATGTTAAAACCTGAATTAACTCACCATTTGCAATGTTCACAAACAAAAGGATTAGAACCTTTGGGGGTGGTGAATAAAGAGGGTGTTGTTTTAGTCACATGGCAGGGGTGGCCCTGCTTCTCTGCCCAGGAACAGTTTCCAGGAGGAGATGGGTGTCTGCAAGGACAGCTCTAGGCATCTTCCCTTTCCTTCCTTATCATCCCCCTCCCTGGGCCAGATAGGCCACCAGGCTTCTCCTTTTGCTGTCCTGGAACTCCTCTGTGAAATCCTCCTGGCGCCTTTTAGGCCTTTCTCTTTCTGAGGGGGAGGGGAGAGGGGAGAGGAAGTGTTTGAACTTTGAGGGTTTGCTTTTGGTTTTCTTTTTGGTGTGATTGTTATTTCCTTTGGATAATACCAGAGTGAACCAGAATCAGCCCCTCGTCTGCACTGGATGCTTCGGATGGTCCTTCCTGTGAGAAAAGGGGACAGAGGGAGAAGGGGGGACAGAATCCTGGGCAGCATGCCTGTCCTCACCTGTCTGCAGGTCTCTGCTGTACGCTCACTGCAAGCCGTGAGAAGCCCCACTCTGTTTTTGTTGGGAGGCAAGCTCACCACTTGGGTTTTGCAGATCCTAATGATTTATGGCCATTCAGCTACAACTCTCCAGTCTATACTCATATATACAGTATATGGAACTCTTAATGCCTTGAATTTTAGAACCGAAAAATGTTAGAAATAGGGATCTAACTTATTTTAGGCATCCAGAGATCTCAGGTTTTAGGCTGGAGATATGATAACAAAGTGTGAAATTGTAGACAGGTTTTATTAGGTGTTTTTGTAAACAGCCAGGCAGATGAATCTTCCCAAACCATAGCACAGATCATATCATTCCTTGGCTGGAAAAATCTTCAGTGGATCCACAATATTGCCTTTTTTTTTTTTTTTAAACATTCTATTGAAATATAAAGTACAGACAAGTGGCATATCCTAAACTGGATGAACTTTCACAAGCTGAGAACACACATGATACTAGCGTCCAGATCAAGAACTAGAACCTGACTAGCACCTCAGACCCTTTGTGGCCCCTTTCAGTCACTTCCTCCAAAAAGTTAGCTAGTATCCTGACTTCTAATCGCACAGATTCATTTTGCGTTTTTGTGTACTTTATACAAATGGAATTCCACAATATGTGCTCTTTTGTGCCTGGCTTCTTTTGCTCAGCAGTATCTTTTTTTTTTTTTGCGGTACGCGGGCCTCTCACTGTTGTGACCTCTCCCATTGCGGAGCACAGGCTCCGAACGCGCAGGCTCAGTGGCCATGGCTCACGGGCCCAGCCGCTCCACGGCATGTGGGATCTTCCCGGACCGGGGCACGAACCTGCGTCCCCTGCATTGGCAGGCAGACTCTCAACCACTGCGCCACCAGGGAAGCCCCAGCAGTATCTTACATTCTCCATTCTCATTGCTGTGTAGTATTCCACTGTGTGACTCTACCACGCTTTGTTTATCCATTCCCATTGTCTCTTTTTTTTTAAAATTTTATTTTTATTTATTTTTGGCTGCGTTGGGTCTTTGTTGCTGCAGGCGGGCTTTCTCCAGTTGCGGCGAGCGGGGGCTACTCTTCATTGCGGTGGTGCATGGGCTTAGTTGCTCCGCGGCATGTGGGACCTTCCCGGACCAGGGCTCGAACCCGTGTCCCCTGCACTGGCAGGCGGACTCTCAACCGCTGCGCTACCAGGGAAGCCCGTCTCTCTCTTTTTTTAAAATATAAATATGTTTATTTATTTTTGGCCACGTTGGGTCCTCGTTGCGGTGTGCGGGCTTCTCATTGTGGTGGCTTGTCTTGTTGCGGAGCACGGGCTCTAGGCCCATGGGCTTCAGTAGTGTGGCACTCGGGCTCAGTAATTGTGGCTCGCAGGCTCTAGAGCGCAGGCTCAGTAGTTGTGGCACATGGGCCTAGTCGCTCCGCGGCATGTGAGATCTTCCCGGACCAGGGCTCGAACCTGTGTCCCCTGCATTGGCAGGCGGATTCTTAACCACCGCGCCACCAGGGAAGTCCCCCCATTGTCTCTCTCTTTTTTAAAATATTTATTTATTTATTTATTTTTGGCTGCGATGGGTTTTCCTTGCTGCGCGTGGGCTTTCTCTAGTTGTGGTGCATGGGCTTCTCATTGTGGTGGCTTCTCTTGTTGCAGAACACGGGCTCTAGGCACGCAGGCTTCAGTAGTTGTGGCACACCGGCTGAGTAGCTGTGGCTCGCGGGCTCTAGAGCGCAGGCTCAGTAGTTGTGGTGCACGGGCTTAGTTGCTCCACGGCATGTGGGATCTTCCCGGACCAGGGCTCAAACCCGTGTCCCCTGCGTTGGCTGGTGGATTCTTATCCACTGTGCCACCAGGGAAGTCCCCCCACCATTGTCTCTTGAACTGAGTATGAATGTCTCTCCCTGGTCTTCAAGGCCCTCCATACTAGGGCCTCCTTCGCTTCCCACTACTCCTTGCACGTGCCCCCACTCCAGCCAGACTGGACCTCTCTGATCATTCCACCACCCTCTGCAGGGGCACTGACACTCCCTGAGTGCTCTTCTAGACCCTGGGGAAACAAAGGTGGATACGACCCAGTTCCTACCCTCTGGAGTTCACTGTCAATAGGACATGGGCAGTTCCCTTTAATTTTGGGGCCTTTATTCCTGCTGCTCCTTGGTCTGGAAGGCTCTTGTCCCTCAGCCCTCGTCCCATGTGTACCTCAAGGGCGCTCTCAAACGCCAGCTGCTCTGTGAGGATTTGGGGGTCTTGCCGTAAGGAATCACTCTCTCTCCTGTGATCTCCCAGCACGCTATTTCGTACCCTCCTGTAGCACTACCTGGAGGTTACTTGGCCTTTTGGACATTTGGGAACTTACCCATTTCCTTTCACTTGACTGTAATTCCTTTGAGGTGGGGCTATATTTTATCTTTTTAAAATCAATCCCTCATATCTTAGTGACTTACACAGAATTTGTGCTCAACAATTCTCAAATTGAATTGAAGGAGAAGAAGGGAAGCAAAATTCTTGAAGCTTGGGAGGCAGAGGCCTCCTGGGCAGGGAGGGCCTTCCATGCCGGTGGGGCAGGGCAGCCACGGCCACAAGGCCATGTTGTAGAGCACTGGCCTTGGAACCACAAGACCTGGGCTTCCTCTGCTTTATTTACTTGCTTTATGAACTTGGGCAAATGGTCAACCTTTTGAAAGCTTGCTTTCTTCATGTGTAAAATGGGGCACAGTCATTGCTGTTTCACAGAGTGTAGAGTGAGATAATGTTTATGAACGAGCTTTATGAGCTATAAAAGTCGGTGGGCTATAAGGCAGTTTCAGATTCCCAGTGGCACCGGCGCCGTGGGTTTTGTCCCAGTGTCCACTGTATGCAGGGCCAACAGCCATCTCAAGTCCGTCCTCTCAGCGTGGTTTACTGTGCCCTCCCCCCACCCGTGGCGATTCCTGGTTACACTTCCTTGGAGGGTGGTGGGTTGCACATCTGTCCCACCACACGTGAGTCCCTCGAGGAGGAGGCAGCGAGCTCTTCAACTTGCCGCCTGGCCTGGGCCTGGTCTCTGGTTCTGTGAAATGTTTGTGGAGTGAATGGCAAGCTTCACTTGGCTGCAGCACTTGCTGTCTTGTGAGGTGAGCATTCCCTAGGCTTCTTGCCATTTAGAATGTCTTGCTCCTGGCCTCAGATCCTGACTAGAAGGAAAATCACGAAGGAAAGGGTCCTTGGCAGGAGTCCTCTGGCTTTCCGCCTGCCAGGACGGGTGTGTCTCGGGTCATCTGCCCTGACAGTGCAGGACCTGCTTTACCTCCTCCCCTTATCCCTTGATGTTTTCCAGAGAAATGTTTTTGAAAAGACCAGACAACATTCAAGAATTTGCTGCAGGTGAGTAAGGCAGCATCCATTTTGGGCGTTTGATAAACGAGCACCACGAGTGTTACTGTGAATTTAGACTCGGACAAGCCCAGGATTCTCCCTGCAGAGTCTGGGGTGCTTCTTTATCCAGTGTCTCCCAAGGGAGCTTTTTTCAAAAGGCTCTTTCCTCAATGTCATTTCCTCAAAATGAGGACAGGTAAGAAACGAGGCAGAACTTCCTCGTGGTAAAGATTGTTAAGAATTTTGAGATTCCCTAAGGAACAGACTGGCAGCTCTTACCCTGGGAATCTTAAAGCGGGGTTCTCAACCCTGGCTGCACATTAAAATAATCTGGGGAATTAAAAAAAATACTGATGCCCAGGCCCACCCCCAGAGGTTTTTATTTAATTAGTCTGGGGTGGGGCCGGGCATCCACAGGTTTAAAGGCTCCCCAGGTGATTCTAATGGGCTCCGCTGCCCTGAGATGGCTTGAGGTCAATGGTATTTAAAGGGAAGGGGCTGGGCTCGATGATTTCTTGGGTCCTTTTAGCCCTGGGGTTACAGCCTCAAACCGTTTCTGACTGAATCTAAGTATGCCTTTGCTGTCGCAGCAGATGCTGCCCCTGATTCACGTTATGCTGGGTATATAAAAATCCTCTTCTGTCGTCATCCTGCAAGAGCCTGGCTCTCCTCTGAGAGGATATTCTCAGAGAGGGCGTGATGTCTCAGAGACAGGAGCCAGCAGGCCGAGCTGAGACAAGAATAACACTTGGTATTTATTTGGGCCCCAAGATGGGCCTGGAGCAGAAAGCCAGAAACTCCCTCAGCCCTCTCATGGCTCCCTGCGCGTCAGCAAGCTGACAGGCCAGCGGCAGGGCGGTGTGGAGGGGACAGGGGCTGCCCTGTCAGCCCTTGCTGGGAATGCTGGAGCTGGAGGCTCAGAACTTCTGGGTGGGGGGGGGGGGGCGGGGGGGGGGGGAAGACAGTGACCTTGGGATTTGCTGTGGCATCTCATATTACATTGTAAAGCAGGACCACCAGTAACAGTCCTGCTAAGACAGAGCCTTCCTGGCTTTTTAGCAGAGTGAGCTGTCTCTCGCCTAGTCTTTTTCCCTTGGGTTTAGATGATTTCTTCTTTTTAATTCTTATCCCAGACTATTTCACGGATCCAAGACTTCCCAACAAGATTCACATGCAGCTAATTAAGGAGAAGAAAGCGGCTTAATTAGCAAAATCATGATGCTCAGCTGTTGAGAGAGAACAGAAAGCATCCAGCCTCGGGGTGGGTGTTAACCTCACTTACAGTCAGAGGCTTCTTTACTCCTGTGAAAATAAGCACTGGTTCCTCGGCCCAGGGTGTGAAAGAAACCAAACAGAGATGCTGCAGAGAAGTTCCGTGCAAGTGTTTCATTTTCCTGACACTACTTTAGGGAATGTGAAGAGAGGCCCAGGGCTTGTCTGGCATGTCCGTGGCAGGGAGAGACATCCGTCTTCTTAATCTAGTGACATGGATCAAGAGAATGGAAGTTGAGTAGTTCTGGAGGAAAGAGAGAGCCAGGGAAATGGGGTGGGATCCATTAGTATCAAGAGCCTGCTCTCAGGCTGCAGAATTCCTGTGTGCTCCTGCAGGTGGCCTTTTCCTTGTGTCTTTGGCGGCGGGAGTAGAAGGGCTTTCCCACTGCTTCTGGAAAGGGTGGGGGCAGTTTCCCTCGTTGCATTTGGATTGGGCGCTTTCCTGCCCCCTTCATCGTCAAACCAGGCTACGCCGTGAGGGCCATCACACATTTTTCAGGCAGGATTTCTGAAATGATTTTGAAAGTTGGCATTTTTAAATGTGAGGTGGGAAAAAGCCACACTCCTGATTTAGCAGCACCATTTCTGTTTTGCAGGGTCATCTGGAAGCGAGAGAGCCCTGTTGCCATCAGTGTGGGTTTCCGGGCTGTGTTTGCTGTTGCAAAGGCTTTTAAAGATGCTCATTAAAAACAGACCTCCCTGTTCTCTCTGCTTTATTTCACTTAGAAGGAAGAAGACATCCTTCACGGGAGGCTGCTCTGCCCCCACTCTGACCGGGTAGGTAGCAGGCCTGTTTCTCTGTTCGTGGCAGAGGCCTCTGAGCTAGGTCAGTGGGTGTTTCCACATGTGCCTCAACCCCGTGTACTCCCTGCCCCTTCAGGCCACTCACTCCCAGAGCCAAGACCAGACAAAAGGGCAGGGGTGGGGAATCCTGAGAGGAACACAGCTGGTCATGGTTGTACTCAAGCAGAGTCCACGCTTCCAAGGTGGCTTTTGTTTTTTATCTTACCTCTGGGGTTACTGTACAAAGTGTACAGGTGATGATTAACTTTTATTTCCATAGAAGCAATAGAGGAATTGGGTTGGGTGGACGGCAAGAGCGAATGAGATTAGACACAGAAAACCCATTCAGGGCCATGAATATTGTGAAATAAGAGCCCCATGGGTGACTCAGAGGTGGTGGACTTTGTTCTTGAGGATTTTTAGGAACAAGCTGCCCATCCATTTGATTTTTAGCTTAGAGGCAGGAGAGTGGGCCGGTTGGCTTGGTAAGTCCTTTCCAGGCCTAGGAGGCGTGGAAGTCTTGCATGTGTGTGTGTCCTACCTCTCTGGCCTCCAAAACTCACTGGTTCCACTGTAGGAAGGACCTCTCACCTGTGTGTCACTTGTCAACTTCACTATGGCAACAGAAGCAACAAATAATACAGACCGAAGTGGGGGCTGTATTATTTTTATTTCCCTTGTCTCTGCTGTCTTGTTCCCAGCTACCGTCATCTGCAGTAGTAGAAAGGGCAACAAAATGGGGCGTTTAGAGAACTATTAAAGCTACACATAATAAGCTATGGGGTAGGAACCTGAGGAGTTATTTTCAGTGCTTTCAGAATCACACTTCAGCAGCCATGGCTCTGACAATGAGGTATCCCAAACACACATCTACTAAGGATCTCTGATGTGAAGTGTTATGTTAGACACTCTTGGAACCTTTTGTAGGGGAAGAGACCTGCAACAGTGTGGGGAGAGAGCAGAGTGTTTTTCAAGATGCTTGAGTGCGTGATTTAATACATGAGAGTACAGCGGCTCGTGCTTGGGGAGTTTCCTGGTAGAGATAAGAAATGCATTTTTAGGTCATAGTGCACCTTCTCTGTGTGAGACGGTGTGCTCGGTCCTGGGGGTAAGGCAGAGCGATCGTCCCTCCTGTGCAGCGGTTCATGGTCTGGGAGATGGGCTGCTTTTCTCCCCAAACCTTAACTGTCTGAATATCTCACTTTTTAGACTGAAAGCTCCACCAGGGCAGGGACCAAACCTAAAAATCGAACTTGGTCACTGTTGAGTTCCGGACCCCTAGCACAGTGTCTGAATGTAGCAAGTGCTTGGTATGCATTTGTGGAGAGAACGAATGCTTGTATAGTTGAATGAGCAGTCCCATTACGTCGACTGCTATCAAGACTGTTGTATACCTATGATGGAAGTAGGGACATGATACGGGAGGCGGTGGAAGAAGGAACACCTGGTCTTCTTGCGAAGTGAGGGAGTGAGGGAGGCCTCATGGAAACTGGCATGTGATGTGTAAGAAGGGATTTGCTAGGCAGACGTGGCAAGAGGCATGGGGTAGTCAGGGTGTCGCGGTGCTTACATTCTGCTGAGCAGGATGCTGGTGGCCTGCTGATTTTTTTTTTTTTAAATAAATAAATAAATTTATTTATTTATTTATTGACTGTTGGGTCTTCATTGCTGTGTGCGGGCTTTCTCTAGTTGCGGCGAGCAGGGGCTACTCTTCGTTGTGGTGTGCGGGCTTCTCATTGCGGTGGCTTCTCTTTGTTGCAGAGCACAGGCTCTAGGCATGCGGGCTTTAGTAGCTGTGGCGCGTGGGCTCGGTATAGTTGTGGTTCGCGGGCCCTAGAGCGCAGGCTCAGTAGTTGTGGCGCACAGGCTTAGTTGCTCCACGGCATGTGGGAATCTTCCCGGACCAGGGCTCAGAACCCATGTGCCCTGCATTGGCAGGCGGATTCTTTACCACTGCGCCACCAGGGAAGTCCTGGCCTGCTGATTCTTATTACTCCTTTCTTCCTTGCTTCCAGAGCTGAAGGGGGCAAGAGAAAAGGAGGGGGAGCAGCTGTTGGGTCAGTCCCGAAGCAGTGTCTGCCGTACCCTCCCTCCCTGACTCATTCTCCACGTGGTAGCTCGAATGATCTTTTAAGAAACCTAAATCTGTATGTTACTTTCCTGCCTAAACCCCTTTAGTGGTCTTCTGTGCACTTAAAGTCCGGATGGCCTTCCAGGGACTGCAAAGCTTCACGTAGCCCCTCCACCTCTCGGTCATCGGCTGCTCTTTTCCTCCCGCCTCACGGGGCTCCAGTCACACCAATCTTTTCTCTCCTCCCCGACCATGCCAAGGCAGTTCCCACTTTAGGGCCTTCGAACTCTGCCTGGATTTCTCTTCCCCAGAACCTCACAGAGCTAATGGTCCAAGTTAGGATGCTGTGTGCTGGAAGCAAGAGAAGACTCTGCTAAGCGAGCAGGCCGTGCTTTCCTCACGTGGCAGACCCGCAGGTGGCGGCTGCTGGCGTTGTTTCAGGGGCCACCTCTCTGCCGTTCCTTCCCTCCCTCATGGTCAGAGGAGACGCAGGAGGACCAGGAAGGGACTGTGCCAGTGGTACTTGTCTGTCTTCTCAGGAAAGCAAAAGCTTCCTCAGGACACCCACTTCTGCCCCCCAGCTTCCACTACCATCTCACTGGCCAGAACTGTGTACGTGGCCCCCTCTTGAAGGGAGGCTGGGAAGTTGAGGATTTAGCCATTGAACAGTGCCCTAGATAGCTTCTAGTCACTTCCTCAGAGAGCCCTTTTCTAGGGAGCAGACTGAAGTTGCTTCCCCCAGGCATTTAAACATTGGGTCGTGCGCAGAATTAATATGGTTATAGCTTCAGTGGGGTTGACACAAGTGCGACTGCAGTGGGCTTAGCAGCAATTGTGAGATGAGGTTGTGGAGGTGGATGCACGCTGCCCGTGGAGATGACCTTCTAGGGGCAAGGCTGTGAGGCGGACGGAGGAAGGGTAGTAGCTAGAAGGGGAGGCAGTGTTGAGGACGGCCTTTTGTAATGGGAGACGCTTGAGCATCCAGGGGTTTGACATTTTCCACATCTTCGGGTCTATTTTACTTTTAGGCTAAAAGACATTAGGGGCTTCTTGGAAGTGTTGTGCAGATTGGCCCTGATGTCCAGAAGTAATGGGAACTAATGGGCAGGCCTAACTTTGCCACCACGTGACCTAGAGTGACCTCTGTGTCAGGTTCCTGTCCTCACAGTTGGAGCAGAAGCTGTCACAGGCGTGCAGCAAGGATGGCCTCCGGCTGGCTCTCGCTGGGTGGGAAGGCAGGGCCAGAGCTGGAAAGCTCATCGCTCTCATCTCCCTGGATGGGCCTCTGCTGCCCTCTCCTGGGCAAGACACCGCTCCGCTCGGAGAATGCCCGTGCCAGGCCTGAGTGGAGTGAGCAGGAGGGAGAGAGACAGGGCTGGGAGTGGGAGAATGGTCACAAATTTCCAGATTCCTATAATAGAAAGTTTCCTCAGAAGTTGCAAAATCCAGGGCCTAATCTCTGGCAGTGCTGTTTCATGAGCTCCTTAGATGTTTCCTTCTTAGAAGTGTCATAAGAAAGAAACCTTGCAAGGTTGATTATTCATTCACTTGTTTGATCACTTATTCACTCGTTTATTCAGCAAACATTAGGGTACATTATATACTCAGGCTGCAAACTTTTGGAAGTCAGATACATTTTCCTCAAGGAACTCGAAGTCTAGTGAGTGGAGATGGATTAATAGATAATTATAATCAGTTTCAAAAGTGAAATGATAAGAGAAAAGGGCAAGCCACTGCAGGGGCACAGAGGAGGGATACCTGACTGGCGCTGTAGTGGCAGGTGGGCATGATGGGGGCTTGGCCAGAGAATGTTTCCCAGCGTGGGGGCTAAATGCTAACAGATGATTAGAAATTACAGGCACCAAGTTACTGTCTAATATCATATCTCCCCGTTATTAAATCTGAGGGACAAGTCTTGCTTCTTCCAAGGAAACTTCTTCCTGAAGCCTTTCCTCACTGTTATCTTAGATACCACTGTTATCTAACAGTCTCGTAGGGCCTTGGTTTTCATATCTGTAAAAAAAAAAAAAAAAAAAAAAAAAAGTGGGGCACGCTACTAGATTTTATCTTTGAGCTTTGTTGTCATCGTGAATCTGAAATCCATGAATGCTAACATTTGCTTTGTAAAAACAGCTCCCTGGGAGCAGGCTGGCACATGCATATGGACATACAAACCCAGAAATTTTTCAGCATCCATGGGAAAATTCGGCTTTAATCCAAAAGAATCAAATGTGCTTTGCATACAGTAGCTTTTCACTAAATGCTTGTTGCAAAAGAACAGGCTCTTGGCACTGTTAAAGCATTCCTGTTGTCCCCTTGGGCTGCTGAGTTTCTTCATCTATAAGGGGGATAACATGTCCCTTGTGGACTTGTGCAAGTGTCATTACACATGCAGGCACCATTCCCATGTCTGGCCTATGGTAGGCCTTCGTAGATAGCAGCTATTGTTTCAGTGAGGTAGTAATTTAACCTGGCACAGGGGACAGTCACTGAGGAGAGTCACAAGGAGAAGAGGGAGTACACGAAAATTAAATGCAAGTTGATATGTTGGAGTTTAGGGCTATTTTGTGTGAGACTGAAGACTTAGCACTTTCTCCAGAAAGCTTCTTCAAGGCCCAACACAACAGTTCACTAGTCACACTCCTGACCCGTCCCTCACAGGCCCCAAGTGGCCTGGAATCTGAGGCGGGTCCTTCAGGAGCAGGACTTCACAAAGTACCCTATTCTTCAGTCACTGGGCTGGATAAGTGACAGCACAGAGCCCTCAAAGAATTGCAGCGATAAGCACATCTCAGGAGACTGGAAGAACAAACTCCTAATGGCTGTCTGGTAGCTGTAGGATAGGTTAATTGTTCAATTAAGATGTATCTGCAAACTAAATCTGATGGAAAAAGGCTAAATGGATTACTGCGTTTTGTTTCCA